CAACACTTTCACTTCAGTAAGGAGGTCTCTTGTTCAGGCAGCATTCACGCGTTGTCTTATTCGACCGTAAGTGCTCTGCGAAGTGGACTTCACATGAAATTCCGCCATGATTCCAGTTCCAAGGGAACGTACACGTTATATTCAAATGGCATTAAAGTGCACGAGACATGAATTTAAATTGTATTTATTTACAGAGGTATATTATGTCACACTTCTCTAGTAAGTTTCATCTGTGTGTGAAGACAGTAGCGCAAATCCGTGAATGAATGTTCCGAAATGAATTAAACTTCAATGGAATAAAGTTGAATGGAATTGAATTGAAATCAAGTTGAATAAACTTCAACTTTACTGTTCAGTGCACTGATATCAGACTCATTTTGGTAATAAAGTTTGTTAAATTGTTAAATGCCCTGCTTCCATTACGTATCTCTGTCACGTCATTATAAGTGTTTCATCACCACATTTGAGTGATCATTGCAAAAAATTTGTTTATGTATATATATATTCTGTATTCTATATATACTACCAGTCAAATGTTTGGACACACGAATGGGAAAGTGTCCAAACTTTTGACTGGTACTGTACTATAATATACACAAAGAATATCGGCTGATATATCGATATCGGCCTTTTTTTACTCCCTAATATCGGTATCGGTCCAAAAAAAAACAATATCGGTCGGGCTCTAGTTCACATTTTATCATTCCCTGAGAACTGACCCCAAGTTTTATGCTATTAATTAAATAAAAAAAGTTTGTGTCTAAGAGCCCACAAAAATGAATGACTTTTGTTTTTAAATTCATATTTTTGAGCACTAGGTAATGCATCTCAATGGTGAATGTGTTGATACAAAGACGTAACCACGTACTGAAGATTAGAGAAGACCAAAGCTCATTGAAAAGCCAGCTAATCTTATTATTGATGCTTCACACAGAGACAGAGAGAACTAAAATAAAACATGATCAACTTTTAATGTGACTTGTGACAATATTAGCTCTAACAGAAAACGCTGGACATTTTTTGGAAGCATGTCAGAAACATCTCAAAACTATATTCCTATAACGTTTTTTTGAAGTATTGTGTAAATATCATGGTAAACAAATCAATCAGAAGAATCATGGCATATATCAGATATTACCATCTCACGCCAATGCTAAAATTTTAACAAAAATTAAAATGCAAATAGAAAATAGAAAAACAAATTAAATTAATTCAAAACATTAATAAAAACTATAATAGAATATCTTTCATACTAAAATAACCATGCTACAAATAAAAATAATGAGTATTTCTACTATTATTACCCTAGGAAATAAATTCATAAAATATAACAAAGGTAACATCAAAGGCAACATGTGACAACTTGCCCCATCTTGATATTTATGTAAAATATTCTAGTCCTGAGTTCAACTTCAGTCCAGTCTTCATTATATACAGTAGCTGACTCTTGTCCTAATTGTCAGTGTGGTTTATTGATATTTATTGGACATTATTTATCATAACTGAGATACTGACTCTGTGACAACTAGCCCCAGTCTCCTCTATATGCCTTAAATAAGTCTTTTTTTAAGCAGGGAACTTTTACAAATGCATTGTCATGATTTACATTTGTATTTAATCATGTGATGTTGTGTTTAATGAGCTTGTGTTCATCTACTGCAGCACAACACAATGAAGAGAGAAGTGGCATAAATCTCACTCCATCAATGTACCATAGTAGGCTACCACTATAGTACTGTTTCTAAGCGTACTCTATCATACATTTTTTCCAGAACAATATCTCTCACTGATATTAGCATTTATTTACCTGTTGCGTGCTGAAATCGAACCCCAGAAAACAAGAATCTGCTCCCGCAGCCATTTAGATCACAAACATCCCGCCATCGAGCGACACACTGTAGCAAAGGCTCGCCTTATGAATATTCATGAGCACGTTAACGTTAACTTCCTGGAGCGACGGTCATGTGACCTAATTAACAATCATAAGCCCAACCTTCACCAGAGCGGGATTCGTTCTTTCACCTTGCTTAGTCACGCCCACTCCCCACAGTCAGCCAATCACGTCAGCGTGAGTCATTAATATTCACCATCCACCGAGCACGTGATATAAACAGAGACCTTCGTTCAGTACACTTGTGCACCGCCTAAAAAAACATGTTTGCTTAACTTACTGAACTTTAATCTGTGACCCCGTCATGCCAGCGGTTTAATTATTGCCGTGCTTTTCAGAAATATGTATTTATAATAGTTTTTCAGCACATTTTAGGAACAGGAAGCTGAAGGATGTCTGAAACAATTCATGGAAGTTGCATAGAAGTTAAACATGCACGTGTAAAAACAAAGCTTCTTAAGTGCATGGGTAAAATAAAGCGGCCAAGCAATTCGAGCTCATTTTATTTCAATAAAATAGCATTACATAGTATTTTATGAAAGTGAACTGGACCTGATATTGTGCTCAAACAACCCAATGCAATGCAATAATATTCATGTCTAACTGAGATGGCTGCTATTAACACATCACAAAATTGCATTGAATATTGTATTATTTTACTGTTGGGAGCAATTCGCTGCGATAACACACTTCAGCTACAACACAGTAAAGTAACTAACATGCAAAATGATTGAGTTTCTGAATGTTCACCTCACCCACTGCATCAACAACACTGAGCAAACATTCTGACTGAATGACACGATTAATGAGTTTAACTGCATTATTTTATTTTTCTAATGTCATTCTTTTCTCTCTTTTTTTTCACTAGTTACTTCAGCTAGACTGCACAACATATTAGCACTGAAATATGAATAATGCATGACTATTCCTTCTTGCCTTTGTCTTTGCAAACTGCAGAACAACCTTGAATTGCACTCTTTTGTTTGCATTTTAATGCAACTCTTGTTGGGAAAGCCCACAAAGCACACATGCACATGAGACGAGAGCCTTCAGATGGACAGATCAAGCTGCATTTATGATTCTACTGCAATAAAAGCAGATTTCTCAGGATGTGGCTGTGCTGTTGCTCATATCTGACGTGTGCAGACGTGTGTGGAGAGACCAGGACAGAAGAGGAGGACCAGAGCGGAGTCAGGATGGACGTCGAGCTCTTAGAAGAGCAATACAGCTCCATCAGAGAGAAGCAGAGACGCCAAACTCAGCTCATCTGCTTCAAGAAAGGTAAGAAGTGATGTTTGGGTTTGTAAGTGAAGTTCAGACTCTAGAATGCATTAAACAAACCAGGAAACATTCTCTGTCAAAAGTTATGAACTAACATTCCTTCACTAGAGTGTTTGCTCAAAGTTATGTGGTATTCTCAAAAATATGATTTATGCATCACTCATGGAATGTTTTTCTGAAGGCAAAATCTTACAGGCATAAATCACATTCAAAAGCAACGTTCCCTTGTAATGTTTGCAAAATGACAAATTATTCCTGTAATGTTTTCTCTAAAGTTCACATAACATGTTTTTTAAATGTTTCTGAACATTCAGAGAACAGAAATACATTTTTATATTGTTAGCAGGACATATTTTTGTTAGCTTGGATTAGATATATATGTTCCAAAAACAATAGAAGGTCATGAATAATTGCATAAATTAATCATCCTATTGTGAGTTAATATTTATTGCATTTAAATCAGTTGCACTTATTGTTAAACACAGCAAAATGTATTTTAAAGTATTGTGACACATTTTACTCATGGACTGAATAATTTTTATTTTTAAGAGTTTTTCTTTTTCTGTAAAGTCAATTTATGTAGCAAATGTTAAAATCTTACAACTCAGGGTTATTATAAGTTATTAAACCTAAATCTAAAACCATAAATCATTTTTGTTACTTTGAATTAAAATAAATTTTGACTAAATTAAAATAAAATATTATTAGTTAGTTATTTTATATATATATATATATATATATATATAAAATTACAAAAAATGTAACTAAAATTAAAATGCAAATAGAAAATATAAAAATAAAAACTAATTCAAAATATTCATAAAAACTATAATAGTATCTCTTTTATACTAAAATAACCATGCTACAAATAAAAATAGTGAGCATTTCCACTATTATTACCCTGGGGGAAAAATTTTAACAAAATTAATAAAATATAACAAAGCAAGGCAACATGTGACAACTTGCCCCATCTTGATATTTATGCAAAATATTCTAGTCCTGAGTTCAACTTCAGTCCAGTCTTCTACAGTAGCTGACTCTTGTCCTAATTGTCAGTGTGGTTTATAGTTATTTATTGGACATTATTTATCATAACTGAGATACTGACTCTGTGACAACTAGCCCCAGTCTCCTCTATATGCCTTAAATAAGACTTTTTTAAAAGCAGGGAACTTTTACAAATGCATTGTCATGATTTACATTTGTATGTAATCGTGTGATGTTGTGTTTAATGAGCTTGTGTTCATCTACTGCAGCACAACACAATGAAGAGAGACGTGGCATAAATCTAGTGGACGTGGTTCCTTTAGCAAAAGCACCAGAAATGCAATTTGAGTGTGTGGTGGCTTCTGACGGCGGTCTGTGGCGCTCACATCTGGAGCTGCACCGCATTAAACACACGACTGATGAAACTGAGCACAGAAATAACAGTGCTGCATCTACAGAAGCCTCCAGCAGCACCAGCTCAGAGTCAGAGTGGCTCTCTGAGGACTCGAACCCTGGGGAACAGCATCTGAAGATCAAGAACCACAGCGGGCTGAGCTCTAGGAAGCTCTCAGCTCCAGCGGGTTTGTCCTGTCAGCTGAGTTATCGCTCCAGATATTACCCCTTCCCTCAGAGGAAAAGCCTGAGGAACTCAGAGACGGCCAGGAGACTGGGCCTCTACGCCTCGCTCTCATGAGGAACCAGAACAAACCTTCCTCCAGGAACATTAATAGAATGTTCGTTCAATCTGCTGTTTAATAATGTTCTCCAAACAGTAGCACAAGAGTATGATTCATGGAACGCATTAGTTGGACGTTCATCTAACGTTTTTTAAATGTTACTAATTGTTTCAGAACGTTCGGAGAACATTCAAAAGTAACATTTTCAAAACATTCGAAAAAAGTTCTTGGAACATATTTTTGACAAAAATCATGTGATAGCCAAGTAACAAATTTAGAATGTTTTGGGACAATGTTTTGAAATGTTTCTAAAAAGTTTTCTTGTCGTGATTAGAACGTTATTGAAAGGTTACAAAAACATTTTTACAATGTTCTGTAAGGTTATAAGAATGTTCCATAAGCATTACTTTAAGAATGTTTTGTTCTAACATTTATATAAAAAAATCTGAACATTAGCAAAATGTTCTTAGAACATATTTTTGACAAAAATCATGCAATATCCAAGTAACAAAGGTAGGTTATAACATTGTTTTGAAATGTTTCTCAAACATTGACATTTCTCCAGTTTTCTTGTCGTGGTTATGAAATTATTTAAAGCTAACAGAAACGTTTCTCACAACATTGCACTAACTTTATTTTTACCCAAAATATAATGTTTATTTTTAAGAACGCTAAATATTAAAATGTTTCCTTGTCATGATTAGAATGTTGTTTAAATGTTACAAAAAACATTTCTTACACTGAAAAAAATGATACTAAATTTTTTAAGGTAAATGGTTGCAAACGATTTATTTTAGCTACATTTAATTAAAAAAAAGATAGTCAGCTAAATTAGTGTATTTAAATGTAGCTAAAATACATTGATTGCAACCACTTACCTTAAAAAACGTAGTAAATTCAATGAATCATTTTTTGAATCAAGTGCAAATAACACGTTCCGAAAATGTCATTCTAAGAATATTTTCTCTCAACATTATGTGTATTAAATATTAATAATGTCATAAGTACAATAAGTATTAATAATAACATTCCCTAAATAATACTTTAAGAAAGTTTTCTTAACATTATGAGAATGTTTATCAAACACAAATAACATCATAAGAAAGGAGTGCAGAATGTTTTCTGACTGTATATCAGATATTAATAAGGTTATAAGAATGTTCCATAGAAGGTTTTGTCCTAACCTTTAGTCGAGCGTCTCTTGTTTTTTAACACCAGTAGTATTAGTGACCAAAATGAGCTGAAAACAAGAACAGCAGCTGTTTCTAATGGCTTTCTATCATGACGCTGACAGAAAAGCGCTTGTGTTTGATTATTGATGCTGTTGGTTGATATTCATGCAGACTGTAAACAAAAGCTCATGTATTTACTTGAAATCATATGTATATTGTTACAGTAACAAACTTGGCATTACAGGAGACAATTAATGAATCAAGAGACATCGTTTGCATTTGCATCATATAACTAATTGTTCGTTTGCATAGTTTGCACAGTCACTAATTGTCAGATCAATATTTGATGTACACTTTACAAAAAGATTTGTAAATAAAAAGTTGATTATTGGAGTGTTTTATAAGAAAATACTGTTTCAGTCTTTCAACTTCAACATTTCCTGTTTAATTCAATGTGTTACTTGCCACTTCTTTGTAATTTGTGATATTTACTAGCAATTTCTGAGTGAAATGTATATATACATAAATGCCAGAGTGTACATAACAACCGTTCATAATAATGAAAATTTTAAAAAGTATATAAAATGATTGAATTGTGGTGTGGACCAGTTAAAAAATAAATGTAATTTAATTTAATTTAATTAAAAAAATAAATAAATTAAAAATAAAATGATTGAATTGTGGTGTGGACCAAATAAAATTAAATAAAATTAAATGAAATTAAATAAAATTAAATTAAATAAAAAATAATACAATTAATTAAATAATTAAAATAATAAAATTAAATAAAATTAAATAAAATTAAAAATAATACAATTAATTAAATAATTAAAATAAAAAAATAATAAAATAAAATAAAATAGCATATAAAATGATTGAATTGTGGTGTGGACCACTTAAAAAATAAATGTAATTTAATTTAATTTAAAAAATAAATAAATTAAAAAACATATAAAATGATTGAATTGTGGTGTGGACCAAATAAAATTAAATAAAATTAAATGAAATTAAATAAAATTAAATTCAATTCAATAAAAAATAATACAATTAATTAAATAATTAAAATAATAAAATTAAATAAAATTAAATAAAATTAAAAATAATACAATTAATTAAATAATTAAAATAAAAAAATAATAAAATAAAATAAAATTACATTTTCATTGGAATAATACATGCATCAAAATTATTAATCTTGAACAAAATATAATTTTCCTTCTAGTAAACCTAATAAATTGTCAGTATACACACACACACACACACACACAATAGATCAAAATACAATAGATTTTCAGTAAAAATAGTTGTTGTTTTTGGAGCAAAAATCATAGGAATAATAAATACTACAAAAATATAATTCATCTAACACACTTTTACTTAGATATATACCTAATTAGTCGAGTTAGTTATGTGAAATCTGGGGAACAAGCACTTTTGTGTTTGCATTTTTCCTCCTTTGTGAGTAGCTTTAGATAAAACGGAGTTTTAAGTCAATAAAAATTAATTAATTATCAAAAATGCAAATTTTTATATTTTTATACACATTCTATTTTATAAATATATAATATAGAGATAAAATATATAATACAGCAAACATTTAATCCCCAGTCCAGTAGGAGGTGCTAAAATCACAAACACATTAAAAAAAACAAAACAAATCACATGACGTGTGCAACCGGAAGTGACCGAGAATCAGGAAGAAAACAATAACAACATCACGTGTTCGCAGCGCAGCGTCGGTGAGACGTACTTAACTTTTAACAATATATTTAAACACAGCGCAGGAGTCTCACATTAACAACACACACAGACACACACACACACATGTAGAAATCTATAAGAAAGCGTGTAAATGTGTCGAGCTCTTACTCGAAGCGCTTGATGATATTAAATGCCGGATTTCCAGGGGATTTCCACTCAACAGCGGATGGGTTTCGCTTTCGGTTCCAGACGCTTTGTGCTTCAGAAGATCTCTGGAGGTCTGTAGAGATGGAGGAGAAGCACAAGCAGTCGGTGCTGATCTCTCTGCTGAGGCAGGATCAAGTCCAGCTGTGGACGGAGCCCTTCATCTCTGACCAGCAGAGCATCCGGGTGAGTGAGTGTAGCACCTACAGCTCTGCACTGACGACAATTAACCACGGTTTTACTACAAATACAACCAAAACACATGGTTACCATAGTTAAACCATGGTAGCCACAAATTAACCATGGTTTTGCAACACTAAGCATAGTTTAACATAGTTTTATTTGTAGTAAAACTATACTATTTTTTGGACAATATACCAAAAAAACATGGTTACTACAATTTTACTATAATAAAACCATGGTTAATTTTCGTAAGGTCACTTTAGGGTAACACTTTATTTTACGGTGTCATTGTTACATGTACTTACTATTATAATAATAATAATAAATTATGCATAATTACATGCTAAGCCTAATCCTAACCCTAAATTTATAAACATAACCATAAGAAATAGTTTAGATATGATACTGTTTTCGAAATCAGATATCTGCATAGCCTAACAATGCCTTGGAAAAAACAGTTAATCTTAAAAAATAAAGCATATACATAAACCCAAATAGGAAATAAAACAGTTATTGCATAAGCATGTGTCCTGAAACATTAGTGTCTCATATTTTACAGCAGTCACTGCAATTTATGAAAGAAATCAATTAAATCTGTGATGTTACCCCCTTTGTAATCGTTAATATTTTCATAAGTAGCTGTAATCTAATTACACATTTTTTTTAAGTAACTCATTACAATTACATTTATTTTGGGTTACACTTTATTTTACGTTGTGTCATTGTTACACATGTTACATGTACTTGCTATTATAATAACAATAAATTATGCGTAATTATTACATGCAAGTCACCCTATAAGCCAAACAGTATTTAAATGTAATCGTACACTGTAACAAGGACACCTTAAAATAAAGTGTAACCTTATTTTGTAACTGAATTATGTAATTTAGTTACATGTAACTAGTTACTTCCCAACACTGGGCTTTAACGTGTTTATTTTACTTCATGTGTTCAGGAGCTGGCTCAGAAATACGTGTCATCCACTGAGTTTACATTAGAGGAGGTGATATCGACTCTGGAGAGCATCAGAGCAGACACCAGCAGGAAAGATGAAGGGAATAAACAGTTTAAAGAGACCGCAGTGGCCTCGCTGGAGCTCCACCTGCCCAGAACAGCAGAGGTACTGATGCATTCACATGCATTTACTTTACACGGACAGTAACCAAGTACTTTTTTACTTGAGTATTGTACTTAAAGGTCCCCTGAAATGCTTAGAAACACGCAGCGTTACTCTATGTGTTGACGTCCTTTTAACTGAAACAGGAAGACAGGGCGGGACATATCAAGCAGCCCCGCCCCTTTTTAAAATAGCCAATAGCGTTCGTTTATATCACAGCTTGGGCTAGAGCCATTGTTGAGCTCCGTAAAGCCGCAGAGTATGCCAGCCACAATCTCATCCATATTGCTATAAAATATAGCATTCTGTGTAGAATTCAAAAAGCTCCGATACATTTTGTGGTCTGCGCCGACTCGCGCATGTGATCCGCTCCGTGCTATCGTGTCTCTGGACCGGAGCAGAGTGTGTGTGCGGTGCGATCGTTAGCGTGACACGCACACTGCCTTATAGATAACCTTAAGACTAACATATTGATACTAACACCCAAAAAAATTTAATTTTGATTTCATGTTGACTTTAAGTACATTTTTTTAAGTATCTACACTTTACTTGAGTATTATTTTTTTCTGGAAACTTATGATTTTAACTTCACTACATTTAAAAGACAAATATCGTACTTTTCAACTCCATTACATTTCTGTCAAGGTCCTAGAAGTAGAAAGTCGTTACTATGTAGCAGTTTTGAAAGTCGTTAAAAAAAAAAGTCATCACTAATGTAGGGTTACGTGAAGTGATTCCCAGCATTTTTTGAACACTAACTAGTAGGGCTCGCTTTTGACACAAATTTCACGATTCGATTCAATTCTCATTCACAAGCCTGCGATTCGATTCGATTACCGATTCGATTCAATGTCGATTATTTTGGACATAAATCAGGTACAGTACTTGCCAAATTTTCAAGGAATAAAAAATAATGCTGTAAAATATACATGAGAGTCAGTTGGTACTACGTTACTATAATATTGAAGGTTAAAATTGACTGATTTGCATTCTACACAACTGCTAAAATTACACCTAATGAAGTTTTTAAAATAATAATTGGATGGAAAGTGCCCTTCAATGTTCCGTCCATTAACTGAAAACAGGCTAGAATAATCGATTCTTGGGATTTAAGAATCGATATCGTTCTGTAAAAATGAGAATCGATTAATATCGAGATATCAATATTTTTTACCCAGCCCTACTAATTAGTTGCAGATGTGATATTTATTTACAACAGTTCAATAATAAGAAGTTAATATTGTGGTATGTATTAGACGCAATATTGTCTGATTTTGCAAGATTGTGTAAACGTTTCTATAGTTTTCGTTTCTATAGGTTTTTAACATTCTAAAAGCTACAAGCTAGTGAGTATATTCAGTAGGCGTAATGTATTGTAAGTCGCTTCAGAGGTCTTGCAAGTATTACATGCAACAATAATAAAACAGTGTGTTGACAAAAAAAATTTACTTTTGGTACTTAAGTACTTTTAAAAATAAGTACTTCTGTACTTTTACTTAAGTAAAATCTGTCTTTACAACTTTCGCTTGTAATGGAGTAATATTTGACCAGCAGTATCTCTACATCTGTATTTTGCCCACCTCTGCATGGACTGTTTACTAATTCATCTCTTGATTTGTTGTTGTTTTATTTTTTTAAGATTAAGAAAAGGAAAGTTCTTTTAAAAACCAAACTGGACATCACCACGCAAGAGCTGAAGAAACTGTAAGTTTAAAGCTGGACTGAAGCCCATTTCTTTGGAGGCCTGTTTCTGCAACGGAATAGAAAAAAATAATAATAATAACTGCAACATTAGATATTTCCAGATGTAGACTCTTCGTGTGATCACTGTGGGCTTGCACCAGCATCAAATGTTTTGGAGCTGTTCGAAACTACCGCCTGCTGTGAAAAGTGTGTTCTGTTATTATCAAGAATATTAATTTATTTATGATTTATTGATGGCTTTATTTTGTTTTTTTTGGGAATTTTAGATTCTAAGATAGCTAAAAACACTGCTGAGCTCAGTATAGTTTCATTGTCAGTCTACTAGCACAAAGATTATTATTATTAAACTGGAAACAGAAAGCTGCACCTACACACCTGAATCTGGTGAGGGATGTTATGAAGCATTTGGAGCACGAAAGAAGAGACATTTTATCAAATCAGGCAACCTTTGATAGATTGCTTTAATGATATTAATTCTAGCGTTCCCTGAGTAAAAGTAAACTATTAAGCCAAGAAGAGGAATAAATTAATAAGTTGAGGTATCTGTTTACCCTTAACCCCCTATTTATTAACATTAACTAATTAAATTAACATTTATTTTTGTATGTATGAATGTATTTTATTTTTAATTTTTAATTTAATTTAATTTAATTTATTTTTTTATTTACACTTCAAACACTTTGATCTCTATTCCTTTTGCTACTGGTAGATATTGTTAAAGTTATCCAGTGAGTGAATGTGTGTAAATGTTTATGTGTTGGTTTATATGTGCTGTATGGTTTTGTAGTGTTTAATAAAAATCCAATAAATAAAGTAAAAAATAAATAAGTAATTGTGACAATTCTGAGTTAACATCTCACAATTCTGACTTTTTTCTTGCAGTTCTAAAAAAAATTGCAATTCTGAGAAGAAAAGTCTGAATTCTGAGATATAAACTGGAAATTGTGTAATTAAAAAGTCACAATTACCTTTTAAAATGTTGATTTTCTGGTGGGGAAAAAAAACAGAAGATGCAAACTTGGAATTCAGAGAAAAATTGTGATATAAACTTGAAATTTTGAGAAAAAGGTCAGAATTGTAAGATAAAAAGTTGCAATTACCCTTTTTTGTTTTTTATTGTTAAATTGTAAAATTGCAGGATATAAGCTCAGAATTGTGAGATAAACTCAAAGTCAGAATTCTGTGTTTATCTACTGACTTTTTTCCCCCAGAATTGCAAGAAACAAGTTAAAATCGTGAGATCAAAACTTTCGTAATTACCATTTTTTTATTTTTATTCCATGGCAGAAATGGGCTTATATACATTTCTGTTGCAATTCACTCATTTAAAAAAAAAAAATTCCAGTCTTTGTGTTTAATTTTAAACATATTCTGCTTTAAAGGATCGGTGAGGAGTATGGATTCAAACACTTTAATCTGATTTTGATGGGAAAAACACTGTCTCCAGGTAAATACTTGATGTTTATATTAGAGCCTTTATTCATAGCTCTATTGATCACTGCATGTTGTAACACAATCCGTGTTCGTTTAAGGAAAGAGGCTTGATGAACAGAACGTGAAGAACAACAGTAAGATCATGGTGCTGGTCGTGTCCTCGGAGCAGGAGAAGACTGAAATGCTGAAGAAAGAGGAGAAGAAGCGCCAGCAGGATGAAGGATTGCAGAGAACGCAGAAGGGTTTCCAGATCCTGTCGGAGAGAGGTGAACCTTCAATATACAGTCACAAGACATTCTCCAGAGCCTCGGTTTTTCACAAATCTGTGATGCAAAATTAATAAGCCACTTTTTTTGTTTTTGTTTTTGCAATCCAGTTTGATTTGTCATTTAACTGCAAAACGATCACAAAAAAAGCAAAGCACCATTTAAAGTTATTGACCCGTTAATATGATAAAGAAACATGAAAAAAAACATATAAAGTGAAAAAAAAGTGCTTGATTTTAAAAGCGAAAAAGCTGCGAAAAAGGACTCAATGCAGCGCTCACGCATTAACTGTACACACACACAGAAAGCAGCTTATGATGTGCTTAAATGGTCAAATACAACCAAAATTATGTCAAAATGGCCAGTATTCCCATAAAAATATCAATCGGATTCATGCATTAGGTCTTAAAGTGACAGCAGTCTAATATACCTGCTGTTGTCTTTGTCATTAATGGTAATCAAACAACAAAACGAAGACGAGAACGAGAAAATCAGTCTCTTTTCTTGACTGATCGCTTTTGCAAACTTTAATAGAGATTAGTATGTTTAATTTATACAGTAAAGACTGCAGGTTTTATTTTATGTTTGATTATTCAATTTCTGTGGTGTTTTGTGAACCCGAGTACTAAACCTACCTGCACTCTTTATTTCATTTGTATCTTTGTCCTTGTCATTTTCTTCAGTTCTTATTTTTTTTAACAACAACGTCTTTTTGAATGTTGTGTGTCAGATTTTGATAAGACAAAAAATATATATATATTTGTAGGACTGATCCTACAAACCTGTTTGAAGTCACATATACGTATTATATCTTATTATCATTTCTGTATCCATCAGACGGGAGTGAAGATCCAGCCACCACCCCATTTTTAGAGGTCGCCGATCAGAAAGGAAATCCACTGCAGATCCCTGACAGCGAGAGGAAGGTGAATCCCATCGTCTTCATCTTACTGTGAAGATTTTTCCTGTAAATGTGTCTTCCAGGCTTCTGAATCTCACAGAGATTAGATGAATTCCTTAGTGTGCATACAGTATCTCCTTATGAACTGGTGTGATTTCTTTTCTCTTTAAGCATTGCTTTTGTCTGATCTCTTGTATTGATCAGGCTCTGATCCTGGCGATGGGTTTCCATGAGAAAGGTCGAGCTCTGATGAAGAAGAGGAACCACAGCGCTGCTCTGTCTCACCTGCTGCAGGCCGACGAGCAGTTCAAGTACGACTTTATCAAAAATTAAAATGCATGAGACAACGTGCAGAATAAAATAATTGATTATTATAGAATATGACTCATTTTAAGTCTTATAGAATACAACACCTGTGAATCTTGTAGAATACGGCTTGTTCGATTCTTAGAATATAACTCATTTGAATCAACTCCTTTGTTTCTTGTAGAATATTACAGCTGGTTAGATTCTTAGAATATGACTCATTTGAATCTTGTAGAATATGACACCTTTGATTCTTGTAGACTATGGGTTGTCTGATTCTTAGAATATGACTCATTTGATTCTTATATTACACAACTCCTTTGATTCTTGTAGAATATGACATTTGGTTCTTATAGAATAAAGCTGGTTAGATTCTCAGAATATGACTCATTTGATTCTTATAGAATACGACACCTTTGAATCTTGTAGAATATGGCTTGTTCGATTCTTAGAATATGACTAATTTGATTCTTATATTACACAACTCCTTTGATTCTTGTAAAATATGACACATTTGGTTCTTATAGAATACAGCTGGTTAGATTCTCAGAATATGACTCATTTGATTCTTATACAATACGACTCATTTGAATCTTGTAGAATGCAGCTCCTTTCATTCCAATAGACTATGATTGATTTGATTCGTTTAAGACTTGTGGAGTGTTAATCCAGTGCTGTGCTGTGATCATTGAATGCATCTCCTGTGTTTGTTATGTGTGTGTTGTGCAGTAAGTGTAACTCGGCGCTGCTGAGGACGGTGGATAACTACGCTGTTCTGCAGCTGGATGTGGTTTGGTGTTATCAGGCTCTGCAGCAGCTCGATTGTCTGAACGATGCCAGACAGCGTCTGGAACGAGCCGAGGAGTGCTTCAAGAGATGCTACGGAGAGCAGCAGAGCCGTCTGCAGCAGATCAAGGTCTGAACAACACCTCGGGCATCTGAACGCTGAGCTTCACATCACACACACGCGTGTGTTTACGGCGTATGTCATGTGTTTCTGGCTCTCAGGGTCACACCGGAGGAGAGGACGTTCTCTTTCTGAGGCTCTATCTGCTCCAGAGTCTGCTGGCCTACCATGATGGCAACAAGAACCAAGCGTTAAACAAGCTCAGAAACGTAAATGCTTACATTTGTAATTATTCTGTTTCTATTACAACCAAACTACATGTTTCAAAAGAGCCTTAACTGCTAGTACTGCAAATTGTGATTCATCCCAGTGATCTGAATCTTTTGATTCTGTTCAACAAAAAGACTCATTCACAATTGTTCAGTGATACACCAGTAGATGGAAACCAGTGAGAGTTTGAGAATTCGGAGTGAATCTTTGAATCATTCGCCCAACATATTTGTTCATGAAATCAAACCCACATCACGTGTATGTTTACATTAATGCTAAAAAAATCTAATAAATAAAAAAAAAACAAATAAAATAATTAAAATTTCAGTAAATTAAAAAAGATATAACATTTTAAAAATGTATATTTTCATTAAACAAAATTTTGAAAAGCTGTTATAGGAACCTTTTGTTTATATATTTATTTATTTATTTTTGCATTGCAACTTTATTTCCATGAACATTGAATATATTTAATTGTTCATACAGAAATCATAAAGGTGTAGTAACAAAAATGGTTTAATTATAAACAATAAAATACAATATAAATGAATACATTTAAAAATCCAATAAATAAAAAATAGATATAAAATAAAAATACATTTGATATTTTTCATAAAATGAGCTATTTTTAAAATAAAATAACTAAATAAATACATTAAAAAATCCAACCAATAAATAAATAAATATATTTGAAAATCCAATAAATAAACAATTAATATAAAAAGAAAATTAAGGTATTTTTAAAACATTTTTTTTTCATTGTAACATTATTTTAAATACATTTAATTGTCCATGTAGGCTCTTACAGGTTACAAAGACAGTTTCCTTCTAAACAACAGAAAGACATTTCAGTTGAACAATAAAATGCTTCAGACTTGTTTTTTAGAATATGACTCCTTTCATTCTTAAAGTATACATCATTTCATATTTATATAATAATATAAACTTGTTTGATTCATAGAATATGACTCATTTGATTCTTATAGATTGTCTCTTTTAATACTTGTAAAATACAGTTCTTTACATTTTTAGAATGTGACTTCTTTGATTCTTATAGAATATGACTCATTTAATACTTGTATAATATGGCTCGTTGAATCGTTTGATTCTTATAGCATATTGATTCATTTGATTGTTCTAATCTAGAATATGACTTATTTGATTCTTATAGCATAAGACTCCTTTGATTCTTCTATGTATGACTCGTTTGATTCTTCTAGAGTATGACTCCTTTGATTCTTCTAGATATGACTCATTCGATTCCTCTAGAGTATGACTCGTTTGATTCCTCTAGAGTATGACTCATTGGATTCCTCTAGATATGACTCGTTTGATTCTTCTAGAGTATGACTCGTTTGATTCTTCTAGATATGATTGGCTTGATTCTTCTAGAGTATGACTCTTTTGATTCTTCTTTAATTGTTCATACAGAAATCATAAAGGTGTAGTAACAAAAATGGTTTAATTATAAACAATAAAATACAATATAAATGAATACATTTAAAAATCCAATAAATAAAAAATAGATATAAAATAAAAATACATTTGATATTTTTCATAAAATGAGCTATTTTTAAAATAAAATAACTAAATAAATACATTAAAAAATCCAACCAATAAATAAATAAATATATTTGAAAATCCAATAAATAAACAATTAATATAAAAAGAAAATTAAGGTATTTTTAAAACATTTTTTTTTCATTGTAACATTATTTTAAATACATTTAATTGTCCATGTAGGCTCTTACAGGTTACAAAGACAGTTTCCTTCTAAACAACAGAAAGACATTTCAGTTGAACAATAAAATGCTTCAGACTTGTTTTTTAGAATATGACTCCTTTCATTCTTAAAGTATACATCATTTCATATTTATATAATAATATAAACTTGTTTGATTCATAGAATATGACTCATTTGATTCTTATAGATTGTCTCTTTTAATACTTGTAAAATACAGTTCTTTACATTTTTAGAATGTGACTTCTTTGATTCTTATAGAATATGACTCATTTAATACTTGTATAATATGGCTCGTTGAATCGTTTGATTCTTATAGCATATTGATTCATTTGATTGTTCTAATCTAGAATATGACTTATTTGATTCTTATAGCATAAGACTCCTTTGATTCTTCTATGTATGACTCGTTTGATTCTTCTAGAGTATGACTCCTTTGATTCTTCTAGATATGACTCATTCGATTCCTCTAGAGTATGACTCGTTTGATTCCTCTAGAGTATGACTCATTGGATTCCTCTAGATATGACTCGTTTGATTCTTCTAGAGTATGACTCGTTTGATTCTTCTAGATATGATTGGCTTGATTCTTCTAGAGTATGACTCGTTTGATTCTTCTAGAGTATGACTCGTCTGTGTGTGTTGGTCAGGTGGAGGAGCTGCTCGGTCAGCTGTTTCTGGACCCTGCGAAGATGCTCCGGCTGATGACTCTGGGTTTCTCGGAGCAGGAGGCGCGTCTGGGTCTGAGAGCCTGTCGAGGAGACATGGAGGAGGCAGAGCGGCTCATCTCGCAGAGGAAGAAGGTGCTGCAGCACAAACATATTCATAAAACACCATAGCCTTTCCTCACACGAGTTAAACATGAGCTGATCTCTCTTCAGGAGAAGAAGGAGCTGAAGGAGCGCGAGCGGGAGAAGAGGAGACGCCGTCTGCAGGACATCAGCACACTGGTAGAGCTGGGCTTCAGTAAGACAGAGGCCGCCAGAGCCCTCCATCAGACCAGAGGAGACGTGGACAAGGCCTACACGGTCCGAACACACACACACACACACTCACTCACTCACTCACTCACTCACTCACTCACTCACTCACTCACTCACTCACTCACTCACTCACTCACTCACTCACTCACTCACTCACTCACTCACTCACTCACTCACTCACTCACTCACTCACTCACTCACTCACTCACTCACTCACTCACTCACTCACTCACACACTCACTCACTCACTCACTCACTCACTCACTCACTCACTCACTCACTCACTCACTCACTCACTCACTCACTCAC